GGCTTTCCAGTTGACTACCGAGGAGACACACGCTGCACCCAATGTGGTGACGGGTATGACCTCTTGTTTATGCTTTTATGATATGCTGCTGTGATTTTGATATGTTATGTATGTGCTCTGTTTAGGATCGTTCCATGTGAACGGTATCCCAGTTCAGGTATTGTTTGATTCGGGTGCTACCCGATCATTCGTCTCTCTTGCGCTTAGCAAGAAGTTTCCTGAGTCTTCGGGCATGTTGGATTGCCCTCTAGAGGTCGAGATTGCGGACGACCGGTCAGTGCGAGCATCTGAGGTCTTCCGAGATTGTGTTTTGAGATTGTTCGAGGAGCATTATCTGGTAGACCTGGTTCCTATTCCATTGAGAGGGAACAAGGTGATTATAGGCATGGATTGGCTGAGCCCCAATGGGGCAGTGATTGACTGTGCGCAGCAGTTGGTGCGGATCAGGACCCCAAGTGGGGGAGAGCTGGTGATTCAGGGCGAGAGGCCACAACGAGGACCAGCTTTATGTTCAGCAGCGAGAGCTAGGCGTTACCTCCAGCAGGGTTGCGCATGTTATGTCGCTTATGTTATGGATACCCGGGAGGCGGGTAGGGCGACGGTAGGCGATGTGCCCGTGGTGCGAGAGTTCGCGGACATATTCCCCGAGGAGCTGCCTGGGATACCTCCGGAGCGACAGGTGGAATTTAGGATCGACCTAGTCCCTGGTGCGGCTCCGATAGCCAAGGCACTGTATCGGTTGGCTCCTCCCGAGATGCAGGAGTTGTCTACACAGCTGCAGGAGCTGTTAGACAAGGGATTCATTAGACCGAGTAGTTCTCCCTGGGGAGCCCCGATTCTGTTCGTGAAGAAAAAGGGCGGGTCGCATCGGATGTGTATAGACTATAGGGAGCTGAATAAGGTAACGGTGAAGATCCGTTACCCACTCCTGAGGATTGATGACCTCTTTGACCAGCTACAGGGAGCATCTTGGTTCTCCAAGATTGATTTGCGTTCAGGGTACCATCAGATGAGGGTCAGAGAGGAGGATGTACAGAAGACGGCGTTTCGGACGCGTTATGGCCACTATGAGTTCGTGGTGATGCCTTTCGGGCTCACCAACGCTCCTGCTGTGTTCATGGACCTCATGAACCGCGTGTGTAGACCGATGTTAGACCGGTCTGTGATAGTGTTTATCGATGATATCTTGGTTTACTCTAAGACGCGAGAGCAGCATGAGGAGCATCTACGAGAGGTTCTGGAGACTTTGAGGAGGGAGAGCTTGTATGCTAGGTTCTCCAAGTGCGAGTTCTGGTTGCGCGAGGTGCAGTTTCTTGGGCACCTTGTCAACCAGAACGGGATTTCGGTAGATCCGGCCAAAGTGGAGGCCGTGATGAGATGGGAGGTTCCGAGGTCTCCATCTGAGATTCGGAGTTTCCTGGGATTAGCCGGCTACTATCGGAGATTCATCCAGGATTTCTCCAAGATAGCCTTACCCTTGACCAGGCTAATGAGGAAGACATGGTTAACAATGAAGATGTTTATCATGAGTTGCCAAATATTTTTAATGACAAGCTACACTGGAAGGAGCAGGAATCTATGTTAGGTATGAGGGTTGAGAGTCCTAAATAATTAAAACACATGCTCTATAACTATAATGTTGTTAATGATTATCAATTTGTACATAGGGAAGTAGGGGTATTTTAGGCATTTCAGATAGTTAAACAGTTAGCGGTAGTTAGGCATTTCAAATAGTTAAACAGTTAGGGGTAGTTTAGCCATTTCTAATACTTAAACAGTTAGGGGTAGTTTAGTCATTTGAAGCGATAATCCATTAGGGGTATGTTATTTCAAGTAATTAAACAGGCAGGGGTATTTTAGTCATTCAAGGCAGTTTAGTCGTTAGGGGTATTATTGCCATATCAATTACTTAAACAAATAGGGTATTTTACTTATTTAAAGCGGGTAACCCATTAGGAGTATTTTAGTCATTTGTGTCAGGTAACCTGTAGCACCTGGTTCTTGGTACGTATTTTTATTTAAGTATTTTGCATTTTTGGCCTTGGACTCGGCGAGTTGAAGGACCAACTCGCCGAGTAGAAGCGGGATGAGACGCGTGACTTAAGTGATGGACTCGTCGAGTCGGGTCCCGGACTCGACGAGTAGGCTCTGTATGGACTAAACCCTAATATGAGGGTTTGCACCCTATTTAAACAACCTTATACAGCCTCCATCGCCCCTTTATGCTCCCAAACACCCTCTATAGAAAACCCTAGCCGTTGTTGAAGTAATCTAAGCCATTTTGGTGGATTTTGGTGTTGATAGTCTTAAGAAGGAAGGAGAAAGGCTTGAGGAAACAAGAGGAGACCAAAAGGGTTCGAGTTTGTGCTTCATCTTCAGTCCTCAGAAGGTATAAAGTTGCTAACTTGCTTGTTCATTTGCTAGATCCCATTTTGTGGAGATTTAGGGCTTTTAAAAGCCATTTTAGGTAGCCAACCATGAATGCAAGCATGGTTGGGGACAAGGCTTCGGATCTAGGTCCTTTGAGGGGTCACAAGGCAGAAAGTGGGTGCTTTTACACCTAAGAAAGACTCCATGCAACCCAAGAGCTTGCTTTAGGAGCTTTTGGACTCAAAGTCCCATGCATGCACGTAAAGTTTGTAACTTTACGTGCTAGGACGATTGTAGGAGCCTAGATCTATCTTTTGGTCAAGAGTTGTACATCAGAAATCGAGGATTTAGAGTGTGGACTTGACCAACTCGGCGAGTCCGTTCTTGGGACTCGACGAGTCCAAGGCTTTGAGTCCCATATCTGTTGAGGGTCAAAAGGACTCAGTGGGGTATTAGAGGGGTTGTAACAAGACAAAAAGAGTGACCCAACGCATTGGACTTAATTTTAGACCTGGAGTTCATGGGACTCGACGAGTGCTAGAACAGACTCGGCGAGTCCAAGGCAATCTTCTTATAGATGAAGATGAACTCGACGAGTTGTTCATACAACTCGGCGAGTCGAAGTTAGGACTTGTTCATCTGTTGAAGATGAACTCGACGAGTATTCATCAGACTCGGCGAGTCGGATGAAGGATCAATCGATGTTCATATCGGAGAGGAACTCGTCGAGTCGTCGCTAAACTCGACAAGTAGAGTCGTGGATAAGGACGAGTAAAGGGAAGGGACTCGACGAGTTGACAGCCCAACTCGGCGAGTCCGGTCAACTAGAAGTTGACTTTTGACTTGGACTTGGTTGGGGGTAAAATGGTCATTTTACCCTAAGAGTAGATATCAGTTCTAACTGTGTGTTTGTGGGGATTGTAGCCGGAGGATTTCCGGAGCAGCATCGGACGGAGGTTTCCCGCACAGATTATCAGCAGCTACTCGTACGAGGTGAGTTACCTTCCAGTAGCGGTGGGTCTACGGCCACAATGACGGCCCACCAGTAGGAGTTGTATGTTAGATGATTGTCTTTGTGATATCATCTAGTTTTGCTACTACCTAATATGTTATATGCTGGCATGATATGTTATATGTGATAGTAGTAGAGTTCGGTTGTTAGGACCGAAGGGTAGGTTAGACACCCCAGATATGTCTGACAGTATGTGATGATATGTTTATATGCTGGCATGATATGCTATATGTGATAGTGGTAGTAGGAGGGGAATACTCCCCAATTTCGGTTGTTAGGACCGAAGGGTAGTTCGGACACCCCAGATATGTCTGATAGTATGTTTATGTTATGATATATGTGATAGTAGCAGTTGGGGGTGGAATAGTCCCTGAGGGTCGGTTGTTAGGACCGACGGGTAGGTCAGCACCCCAGAATGACTTGACATGGGTAGGTCAGCACCCCAGAATGGCTTGACACGGGTAGGTCAGCACCCCAGAATGGCTTGACACGGGTAGGTCGGCACCCCAGAATGGCCGTACCAGGTAGGTCGGCACCCCAGAATGGCCGTATCGGGTAGGTCGGGCACCCCAGAATTGTCCGACAGTATGTATGCTATGTGATTGTATGGTATGTCGTATGATGGGGGAACTCACTAAGCTTTGTGCTTACGGTTTACAGTTTTGGTTTCAGGTACTCGTTTTCAAAGGAAAGGAGCCGGCTTGATCGCAGCGCATCACACTATGGTTTTCCGCACACGAGATCTTTGGGATTACACTCTGATATTGTTTTATGATAACATGTTTTGATTATTTCTACTTGGGTTTTGACATGACATGATATTATGGATGTTTTCTTATACTGTTGGTTTTATAATAATGTATTTAAAAATGAAATTTTTGACCTGTATTTTTGGGATGTTACATAACCCTGAAGGGGTGTTGTGGGCATTTTAGTTAGTACTTTTTATGTGACTTAAACTATTAGTGGTATTTCAGGTTTTCCAGTTAATTACCCAAGTGGCTAAGCACTAAAACAACAAAAAAGAACTTTTCCATGGTTTTCCATTTATGGGTTAAAGACAAGGACTTTGTAGTGGTCCCAAGAAGATGCATTGTGTATTAGATTCTTCTTTTTTGTCCCTTGTCCACAACAGAAACATTGTGGCCCCTGTTTTGTTTGTTTAAAAGAGTTTGACTTTGTCATGTGGTCCCAGGAAGAACATAAACAAATATGGGTAGTACTTAATCACTTATATGATTGTTGGTTTGTTTCTATATAGATTACATGTACATTAAGAGCTATAACAACAATATTTTATCTTAACCAACATTTCATTCACGGGTTTTTGTTACATCGCATACAAAATTTCACTCTACATCTATTAGACAAGTTAAAACAAGATTTGTACCAGCATCTAACTACATACGACAACCATCACCAGTTATTACCATCAAAAAACCGATCATCATAAGAAACATGATCAATAAAACGACGACCACGACCACCAACTACTACCCCCAGAAATAAAACGACTTACCAATAAGGACAACAAACCAGATGCACATTATAATAAAAACAAACCCACGACAAAAATGCTGTAACCTAAAGTTCTTTAGTCATTTTAAGAACTTGTAGGTTAACACCCCCACAACAATGAAAGTAAAAAAAACCCAAAAACCCATTTGACTTTGTTGCACTTGTTTTTACCCAAGACGATGTTGACATATGATGCTTGTAGTGAACATAAATGCATATTCAAATCAACAACCATGTTAGACAGATTGAGCTGACCTGCCCTAACATCATCAAATTCATGGTTGAGGGCGTCTAAGTCTCTAGTGACGCTTCTTCGTAGTTCGTGAATGTCATTTCCAATATCCTCCCTTACAAGAGACAACTCCAACTGTGTCTGGAGCAGATTGATCGCCATGTCTTCATTTTTTTTCCAATTGGGATTGAAATGAAGGATGCAAGCTTTCAAATTGTGCCATTTTAGGGGACAATCTTCTACTTTTATACGGAGGCGGGTGGAATAGTAGGTACGTGCCCTCTACGATTCATATTCCAGACGATGTTATTTGGGTCGTTGGACGTAATTAAGATTTCTCCATGTCATCGATGATGTGTCAAGTGGGGATGATGTGGCAGGGTTACCGTGCATAATAAGTAAAAGGGACTAAATTACTAGGTTTCCATACACTTCGTTCCCTCATAAAGCCACTAAAAAGTCAAGTGACTAAAAGGGTCAACCATAGAAAGTCCATAGGACATATGTGTCATTTTCCCTTTCTAGGAAATGGGAAAAGAAGCATGGTGGTTTATCACTAAACCTCTTAAAATCAAGACCTCACAATAACGGTGTGATTTAGATATGGTTGCATCGAGATCCCCATCCTAATTCTTTCATGTGACCATTTTGTGCCCTTTAACACGTGAATATAAATATTGATTAACATATATGTATCAGATTAGATAGATTTTTTTGGTTGAAAATATCATGGTGATATTTGAAATTCATGAAATGAAATATCATCTTTCGTTTGATCGTGTTTGAAATTTTGTTTAATAGAATTACTCAATCAAAAATATAAGTTCCTTAGAAATGAACAATTCAATTATATGAATAAATATCTGTTAGTTCAACAGTTGTGATAGAGTGACCAATTTTAACCAAATTATAAGGATGAAAGGTATGTTGGTAATTCAATAATACAAGTTAAGAACTTCATACAAATGACAAGCGAATTCGGTAAACACACAAAATAACACTTTTGAAAATTTGAAAAAACTAAATACAATATTTAACATTCTTTCTTTTGTCTGACTTACGTCCATGAAAGAATGAGAGATAATTTTATTAACTTCCAAGAACAATTATAATCATCCATAAAGTTACACCTCACATGAGCTATCCAAACAAAATCATCTCACTTGCATAAAACTACTTCAAAATATATGCTCTCACAATGATAGTGCTACTTAATGTTCTCATAAAAATTAGCACAAGGAATAATGAGAGGGGTTATGTCCATATTTATAGACAAACACGAGAATCCAAAATTTTGATGGGCCTTTCTCATCCATAATAAGTTCATGAAAGGGATGTCATAATTGTCAGCCAATCCTAAGACGCCATACATATGCTTTAAGAACTTTCAACCTTGAGGGATGTATATGACCACTTGCCATGCATATGGGAGTGTGTCATGTCTGCCCCAATGCATCATATGAGCGATTTTACCTATAAAAGGAGCGCATTCTGGCACTATTGGAGCACATTTTGAAAACTTCTAGTTTTTAGGTTTTATGTTTTGAACATTTATTTTGATGTCTTTTTATGTAATTTTCTAATTTTCAATTTATTAAAACTTCTTTTAACACATCTACACAAATAAATGTTGAAGCTTACATATTTTAACTATTAACTATTTTATCAAACATACTCAACTTCTAAAATTGAATCTCCTCTTCAGAAAGAAAATTCCAGTATCATGATACTATTTTATGCTAAGATACTTAATCAATAACTTTGAATTGAAGTATGCTTTTAGTTTTTCAATTTTAACAACATACTTTCTTTGATATCTATATCATCAACCTAGATTAATAACAAAATAAAAACATTTTTAATAATTGATTTATAATATGACTTAAAATTATTATCATGTTATTTTTTAAATAATATATATACACCGATGATTATCATTTTTCAAAAGTTGTGTTAATAAATTTAAATAACACATCAATATCTATCTAAAATGTTCTATAAATCTCATTGTTTAATTTTTCGTTCTACAAAATAAAAGAGCATTCAAAATATGTAATAATCTTTATAAAAAATATATTTCATAAATGGAATATCATTAAATATTTAATATATTTGTTTTTTAACGAAATAACAAATATAACAAAAATATAATTAAATGGGTAAATAACATATGCTCAAATGAAAATGAGTTAGATGTATAAAACCTAAAGTAAATTGATCAATTAATATATATATATATATATATATATATATATATATATATATATATATATATATATACTTCAATGGTTAATCAAAATAGTAAAGAACTTACAAGATAAGAGTCAACAAACTTATATAACTCTCTTAAGCACGAAGAACCAAGAAATATAACAAAATATAGAACAAAAATCTTACTACATGACTCTCACAATCTATTAAAATCACACCTCACTAAAACCCTCAATCTAATATACATTTACCTAGATATTAACCGAAGTGGTTAACATGTTCTGATCCTACACTAATCTGAAGCAAGAACGAGAGAAATGAATTAGAGTTTCCTTCTCTACAACTAAGAAAGATATCATAGAGAAGTAAGTGAAAATATAGTGTGTAAAGAGACTACACTTTATATACCAAGTCTCTAAAAACTAGATTTGGGTCAGTTCAGCCTTGGATTGCCTTGTTCCTCATCCTTTGTAACAGATGATCTCCAGTCCACATGAACCACAAATAAAATGTTTAACCCCTTGAATCTTTAATGAACAATTTAGCCAATCTACTTCCATAATAATAAAAAAAACACCTTAACATTTTTAACTATACAAAAATACACCAAATAAATATTCTTATGACACTACTGTAACGTCCAAAATACCACGGTAAAAAATTTTCATTTTTAAAATACATTTTCGTAAAATCCATAAAGTAATCAATCATCGTTCAAAACAAAACCATAAAAATCAGAGTATCAATATCATCTCTCAAAACATAAATCAGCAGGAGGATGTGTATGATCATGCTTTCACCTTGCCCCGATCATCTGAGGTACCTAAAACATTTAAATCCACAACTATAGGCCAAAGCTTAGTGAGTTTCTTGAAAATAACCCACAAAACAATACACATACAATGCATGAACACATGAGCCTATAGTCTACCTGGACCGCCTTGCAAGGCCTACATGATGCCTGGATTGCTCTAATAAGCCTACAATCTAACTGGAACGCCTCGCAAGGCCTACAATATATCTGACCCCTCCTTTGGGCCTACAGTCTGACTGGACTGCCACACAAGGCCTACAATACACTTGGACTGCCTGGGTATCTTGGCCTACAACACAAAGCAGGACCGCCTCAACCCAATCATAATATGTCAACATATGCAAACAAATAAACAATAACCATAAAACACAGGCAGTCACACAGATCTACTAATATAACAAATCACTACAACATATCAACATCCTACACATAAGGATACATAATGTGGTACAAAGTATAGTGAGAAAACTCACCTTATAGTCTAACAGATAAACAGTACGGCTCACACAATCCAAGAACTATTACTATGAGCCTCATATACAACAATCAGAGACTACTCCTCAATCCATATCCCAAAACCCTCAAGTTGACAAAAAGTTAACATGGTCAAAAAGTCAAAGTTTAATGGTCAAATTCAACAATCAAAAGTCCATCAATCGGTCACCATGTCGTGGCCAATAATTTCCCATGTCGTGGTAACCTCACAAAAAATCAGTCGCGAAGAGTACCTATCACAACGTCGTGGGAGCTAAGCCTCCACGTTGTCAGAACTATTCTGGCCAACTTAAATCATTAAGCTCTTAATTCTTCAAGCGACCTATCCATACTTTCCATAAGGCTTTCTCACCCTCAATGGGTTATAAAAATAAATGCTTTATAAACATGCATAGCCAATGAATGTCTTTTACTCTATCTAGGTCAAATATAATGTAAATGAGATCAAAATCTCATGCAAGGATTCAAAACTCAATCATTCTTCGGATCTAGGACACATAACCATAAAAGGACCTCAAGGATCCATAAAGTTGCCAACTTTATGGAATCTAAACATAGAAACTAACACAAACATGAAGAACAAAGCATAAAAACCTAGATCTAGAAGCATATCACATAAATATTGGACCATGAAGACTCAGAGTGGTCCAAAATATGTGCTAGAATGTAAAGAAGGAGCTTGCTTACTGGATCTACACTCAGTGAACACCTTCTTCTCCTTTAAAACACCAAAATCACCTGTAACACCCATAAAATTCAAACCAATTTAAAACTTATCAAAACATTTAAAACCAGCAGTTATTACAAATTTGTTTTCAAAATAGTTTAATATCAGAGTTTTTCCCAGAAACATAAATAAAACATGAGGAGTTGTATGATCACGCATTCGCCTTGCCGCGATCCCCTAATGTACCTGAAACAATAAACTGAAACTGTAAGCCCGAAAGCTTAGTGAGTTCCCCCAAAATACCCATACCCACAACAATACACATATAATCATAAACAGCATACTATGGGTCCAGTCAACCATCGGGTTGGAATACCCCAGGCCCACAACCAATAGGTTGGAATGCCAACATACTATGGGTCCAATCATCCTCGGGATGAATTACCCCAGGCCCACAACCAACAGGTTGGAATGCCTACATACTATGAGTCCAATCATCCTTGGGATGGAATACTTACGGCCCACAACCAACAGGTTGGAATGCCCAGGTCTATTGGCCTCCGCACAAAGCAGATAAGCCTCAACCGCCAAACAAACATGTGCACATATAACATATAATCACATAGCGGTCTATAGGCAACAACTGATCTAACGGATCATACCACATAGCACATAATACCATCCTATCTACCAGGATACCGATCTAACAGATCATACCACATACCACATCATACTATCCTACCTAATAGGATACCGATCTAACATATCATACTAGCATAACATATCCAGATAGCAATCCAAAGGGCAGACCTTGGTGCCTTAGACCCTTGAGTATAGTGAGGATAACTCACCTCTCAAGTAGTGCTGAAATACCGAACCTCCGAATGCTGTCTTACCGGAAATCCCGAACTATTACATAATAAATACTAAGTTAATACCCAAAATAACTTCTTGACTAAGTGTCCACACAACTCA